GGGACGGCCCGTGTCTTGATCTGGGTGCTGGCCACGTGGGCATGTTCCGTGTGGAACCCACACTGTCCGCTTACGATCTGGGGCCTTTCCTGGGTGTATGTTATTCATGAGTAACAAGTAAAAAAGGAGAAATGGAAACGGGTGTTTCACCAATTGGGGAAACTGAGGCACCAAAGGGGGAAGGCCACCGTGGCAGAACGGGTTACCCCAGAAGTGGCAGGACAGGGACCCAAGCCCGGCCTCAGGTGTCTGCCCTCACGCATGTGCGTCCTGCCTCTTGCTTCCCCCGGCAGAGTCGGCCATGGAGAGGGACCGCTACATGAGCCCCATGGAGGCCCAGGAGTTTGGCATCTTAGACAAGGTTCTGGTGCACCCGCCCCAGGACGGGGAGGACGAGCCTGAGCTGGTGCAGAAGGAGCCCATGGCCGTGGTGGCCGCGACAGAGCCAGCCCCCGCGAGCATGTGAGCGCGGGACCTCACCCTCCGGAGGAGTCGGGGGACACCAGGCACCGGCCAAACACTGGAGCTGCAGCCCCGCCCGCCCCTCGGCTGAGCCTGGAAGGGCCCCGTGAGGAACTCTGGGTTTGGGGGTGCCCCTCAGGGCGGGCATCTTGAAGTAGACACTGTGATTTTCAATTAAATCTTTCTAGTCTTTGATCCCCATCTCTGTCGCCTCCCCTCGCTGCTCCACCACGGCCCGCACGCGCGTGCCCTTCGCAAGGCCTCTCCGGCCCTCAGCCTGACCCCGAGGCTCTCACCTCCAGTGCCCTAACTTCAGCAAACTCTACTGAGCAAATACAACATTTCAGGCACTGTTCTAGAGGCCACCTCATTCCTCGAAGAAAACAAAAATCCCTGCCCTCCAAGAACTTAATCTCTCTCTCTCTCTCTCTCTCTCTCTTTTTTTAAGATTTACTTATTTGAGAGAAAGCATGCATGAGCATAAGTTGCGGCAGAGGGAGAGGGAAAAACAGACTCTCCGCTGAGCAGGGAACCCGACTCCAGGACCCCAGGATCATGACCCGAGCCCAAGGCAGACACTTAACCAACTGAGCCACCCAGCACCCCTAGACAGTTTCTTAAAAAGCAGGAAAAGAGGTATGCAGTGTGTTGGTGTGTGACAGCTGTAGATGGCAAAGGCCTTGCTGAGAAGGGGATGCTTGAACAGAAGATGTTTAGGGTGAGAGAGGGGCAGAGCAGTCTGGGCAGCGGGCATAGCAAGTGCAAAGGCCCTGTGGCAGGACTGTGGCTGCCACGTGGGAGGGGCCCCAAGGAGGCTCATGGCTGAAGTGGAGTGGCCATGGGGACAGTGGAGAAATGAGAATGGAAAGGAAGGCCTGGTAGATCTGAGCAAGGAGGGAGATGAGCCCTGGAGGGTTTTGAAAAGAATGAAAAGCAGGAGGACTGTGGCTCCCACAGAGTAGGGGGAGGAATGCAGCCAGTGTGGAAATGCTGGGACCAGTTAGGAGACTTGGAATAATCAGATGAAGGCTGGCGGCCCCAGCTGGGTGGCCAGGAGAGGTCAGAGGCAGAGCTGACAGGTGGAAAGGCTGCGGGGAGGCGCAGGTCGGGCAGGGGATCAGGAGCTGAGTTCGGACGCTTTACTTCTGGTGTTTGATGTGCCTCAGACATCTCAGGGGATGGATAAATCTGGGGTCAGGATTGGGAATAAAAATGGAAAAGACATCATCAGGATGTCGATAAGTTAGCCAGGCTAAGAACCGGCTGCTGGACCTGGCACAGTGGAAGTCACGGGCCGCATGAGTAGGAGCACGGTCAGTGCTCTGGGTGCCAAAAGCCACCCTGGAGCGCCCGCAGAGGGAAGGGGCGGGAAGACACGGGAGCTGGACAAGGTTTTCAAGGAATTTCACTGTATAAGGAGAGCAGACAACATGTGGCCGTCACTGGAGGGGTCGTGGGGTCAATACCTCAACACAAATTTCTAAAAAGATGAATCCTTAAAAAGACAACCACACGGACGACTGGGTGGCTTAGTGGTTGAGCATCTGCCTGCGGCTCAGGGCGTGACCCTGGGGTCCTGGGTTCGAGTCCCGCATCGGGCTCCCTGCAGGGACCTGCTTCTCCCTCTGCCTGTGTCTCTGCCTCTCTCTGTGTCTCTCATGAATAAATAAATAAAATCTTAAAAAAAAAAAAAGGCAACCGCAGTACCACTCACAAGCCCCAAAAAAATAACAACAGTGTTTATTATTACCATGGTCACATACTCACCCAGTGTCTAAATCTCTGCAGTTACCTCTGCGTTTTCACTTTGTTCCAATCAGCATCCAGGTAAGGCATATACCTTGCAACTGGTGGATGTCTCCCCAAGCCTCGTGCAACTGTGGGTTTTCCCCTTAATCTCTCTCACAATCTCCCCCCCTTTTTCTTCTCTTTCTTTGAAGTTCACTTGTTGGAGATACAAGGCCGTTTGCCTTGTGGACTTTCCATCTGAATTTTGGTGATTGGATCAGCACGGGCTGGGACCTCTGTCCTTGATTATTTCCTGTGACTTGAGCTATAAACCCAGAGCAGTCTGATGGGATTCAGGCTCCACTGCTTGGGAAATGACCCCTTAGTGGAGGTGTGTGCACCCATCGAGAGGCACCCAAAGTGCTCGTGGCCCCTCATTTTGCAATGTTAGGGGCCGATGACAATCCGTGTCTGGATCCACTAAATATTCCAATAAGGGCTGCAAATGGTGCTGTGCCAATTCTAGCCTTAAAGGAAGAGGAGGGGTTTTTATTTTGTTGTTTTTTATTTATAAGATAGGAGGTACCTGTTGGTACAGGGGCAGGAATGACCCAGTGGAGGGGGAATGGGTGATGCTTGGCTTAACCTTTGACCTCAACCTCCTACTTGGCCCGACCCCATGACCATGGCCTTGACGTCGCCCCCTGAGCCCTGTGCCCTTGACCCCTTCCTCTCGGCCTGGGCGTCCTTTCCCCTCGCTCTCTCCCGGGCATTGGCCCAAACGGTCGGGCACCTCCAGACCCCAGAGCCCGGGCGAGGCCGACTCCTGCCCTCGAGCCCCGCCCCTCCGGCCTCCACCGTCCGCGGCGTCCAATCGCGCAGGAGAGGAGGCGGGCTCTACGAGGAGCCAATAGCCTGAGAGGGCGAGCCGAGCAGCAGCCAGTAGCCTCGGCCGGGGGGCGGGACCCCAGGGAAGGCCAATCACTGAAGGGGCTCGGTGCTGCACAGCCAATGGCCGCGGGGCGGGGGCGTGGCCCTGACTCCGACCGCTTCCACTACCCGGCTCCGGGGCTATGGCCGGGAGTGGGCGGCTGGCGGTGGGGACGCTGCCTTGGCCCGGCTGGGTGCGGGGCTCGGGCCCGGCCGTCCTGAGCCGCCTTCGGGACGCGGCTGTGGTGCGGCCAGGCTTCCTGAGCGCGGCCGAGGAGGAGACGCTGAGCCGCGAGCTGGAGCCCGAGCTGCGCCGCCGCCGCTACGAATACGATCACTGGGACGCGGTGAGGCCGGCAGCGCGGGGGGCGGGCCTGCGCGGGGGCGGGGCTACGAAGGGGCGGGGCCTGTGGCGTTAGGGGCGGGGCCTGTGGCGTGAGGGCGGAGTCTTGGTGCCCTAGGGGGGCTGCGCGGGCCGTGAAAGCCCTTTGGAGATGAGGGCGTGGCCACAGTTGGAGGCCCGACCTGGAACCTTAGGGTGTTTGGGGGGCAGGAGCGAGGTCAGGGGCCGACGCAGGGGTGGAGCGAGATGAGGGAGGGTCACCAGTTGTGGGCGGAGGCAGACAGACGAATACTGGAGTGGGGCCAGCACTGGGGACAGGAGCTGGGACTGAATTGGACCCTGCAGGCGGGTACCAAGGAGTAAGGCCGGGCCTGGGAGGGCAGGGGTTGAGGTTTGAGACCTAGGATCTTAGGGTAGATAGGATCGAGGTGTTGCGTTGCAGGTGGTGTCAAGGGGGCATGTTGGGAAAACCAGTCCTTTGCACTGCCCCCCCCCGTGCCTCAGTTTCCCTGCTCCCTCTGAGAGTTTACAGGCTTGACCGAAGCTCTCTGTGCAGGCCATCCACGGTTTCCGAGAGACAGAAAAGTCACGCTGGTCAGAGGCAAGCCGGGCCATCCTGCAGCGCGTGCAAGCTGCCGCCTTTAGCCCCGGCCAGACCCTGCTGTCCTCCGTGCATGTGCTGGACCTGGAACCTCGGGGCTACATCAAGCCACACGTGGACAGCATCAAGGTGGGCAGAGGCCAGAGCCTTGCAGCTCCCAGCTGGGGGTGGGCTGGCCTAGGCCAGAGAGTGACCGGCCGCCATGCCCCCCCATGCCCCCTCTTGCAGTTCTGTGGAGCCACCATCGCTGGCCTGTCCCTGCTATCTCCCAGCGTCATGCGGCTGGTGCACACCCAGGAGCCGGGGGAGTGGCTGGAACTCTTGCTGGAGCCAGGCTCCCTCTACATCCTTAGGTACTGCCCGGCCGGGGAGCCCCCTCCCCACCAGTAAGTCATCAGATGCCCACCCAGCATGTTGAGCACCTTCTCTTTTTCAGCCCTCCCGGCAGACACGATCGTTCCCCCGTGGCAGGCCGTCCACCTGGCTCGGGGGCTGCCGTCACCCCACCCAGCCACAGCCTGTTTTCTCTTGCAGGGGCTCGGCCCGTTATGACTTCTCCCATGAGATTCTTCGGGATGAAGAGTCCTTTTTTGGAGAGCGTCGGGTACCCCGGGGCCGACGCATCTCTGTGATCTGCCGCTCCCTCCCGGAGGGGATGGAATCAGGGGAGCCCGGACAGCCGCCCCCAGCCTGCTGAACCCCAGACCCTTCCCACAGCTTCTCGGAGCCACCGTGTTTGTAAATAAAGTGGGGGTGTGGACAAACTGGCCTTGCTTGCGCTGGCTATTGGCAGGGGCTGGGCGGTGCAGGGGAAGCCCGGAACCCGCCTCCCGGCCCCCAACCCGCACCGGGAGCAGGGTCAAGGCACCCTCGGGCTGAACACAGTCATGCAGCGGCAGTTCCTTTATTAGGCTCCTTGCAGGTGGCCCCGGCCCACCTCCCCTCTGGTCTCCAATAAATAAGTCAGCAGAGCCCCTCGAGAGGCCGCGGGGCCCCAGGCCAGACGTCCTCAGCCGCAGCTGCAGGCCACCGCCGAGAGCTGGGGCAGCCGCTGCCAGCGGTGGCGGTCGTCGAGGAAGGCCACGTCGGCGTAGCGGGTGGGCCGGCAGCAGGGCCCGCCGAGGACTCGGCCCTGGCCCCGCAGCCAGGCCAGTGTCAGGCCGTGCTGGGTGCGCGCGCCGCGGGGGCAGCTGCCCGCACAGTAGCGGAAGGTGACCGTCTCCTCCGACGCGTAGCCCAGACCCAGCTCAGCCACAGGCAGGGACAGGCTCCACAGCTGGCACGGGCTGGCCAGGGCTCGGCGCGGGCGGCCACCTGCAGGGGACAAGGGGCCGCTGATGGCAGGTGACATCTGGGTGGGAAAGAGCTGGGGGTCACGCAGGGCCCGGGGGGGGGCCTTACCCAGCTGTGGCCTCTGGGTCCCTCGGAGCTCACCCTCCACCACCGGGGTCCCCTGAGCACCAGGGCCCCAGCCGAGGCCCAACTGCAGCGACAGGAGCAGCAGCGAGCAGAGGAGGACTCTTCCTGGGGCCATCGTGACAGGCAGGTCCGGACAGTGGGGATGGTGGGGAGCGTCGCACCCTCAATTTATCCCCCCACCAGGGCTGGGGACATAACCTCTTCGTTGCCACTGCCTCGCGGGCGGGGAGCCCACCATGTCCCACGCCAGCTGCTCTCCGGCACCCTGGGGCCAGCGCCTCTGCCCACCCCTGTGCTTTAAGAGTTAAGTGCTCACCCCCGCCCCGCCCCGGCCAGACATTCCGCAGACCCATTTCCGACACCCCCTTCACCCCTGATTTATGAGTGTTGCGGCAGCCAGAGCCGAACCCAGGGCGGGCCACTGAGTCCCCCACCCCACCTGCTTTCTGGAAAGAGGTGCAGGGGGCGGGGGCATGAGGACCCGCCAGTGCGGCTCTCCCCACTCAGGGTGCCAGGGCTCAGGGGTCCCCACGTCGTGCACCAGGTAGAGTGGGTAGGGGGAAGAGACGGGCCAGCAGGTGGCCGGGCTGATGGGGAACCCTCCATCACAGCCGCCACCTGGAGGATTAAGACATCATGCCCCTGTCTCCGGGCCTGGCTGAGCCACCGTCAAAACAGGAAAAGGGAGAGGCCCGGGGACAGCCAAGAACTGGGACAGGAACGGAGGAAGCTCACCCTGCAGGGACGCCTGTCTCTAGAAGGCCGAGCTGAGGTCCCTGGACCTCAGCCCCATCCCCACGTTAGGGTGGGAGGGGAGGTTAAGCCCACCAGGTCTGAGAGGCAGCAGCAGTTTCCAGTGATTTCCATACCCGGCCCCATGAGTCCTGGGAAACGAGGCCACCCCTCACCTGTGAAAGGGGGCTAATCAGAGTCCTTCCCACGCGAGGTTCTGAGGACAGATGGCGCATTTAGGGTTTAACACGCTGCCTGATGGTGAGGAGCTTTCGAGAATAAGCCCTCCTTTGAGGCGAAGGAAGCGCGAATGACTTGGGTACATTTAAAGAGGTGCTGGGTCCCATGTAGGTCAGGGGGGCGGAAACATAGGTGGGACCCTGCAGCCCCGGTGGCAAAACCCAGCAAGTGCGCTCACCCCCGGCTGGGGGGGGTGTGTGTGGTGCGGGCGCGTGTGCCATGGGGTGCAAACCGGCAGCCGTTGAGCATTCGCTCCGGAAGCCGCCAATCACGCCCCGCTGCCCCTGGACAAATCTGGCGCCAGGATCTCATCCCACGCGGGTGAGCAGAGGCACAAGCTCAGGACCGCTGCTCGCTTTACATCAGCAGAGACCGGGAGTGACGGGAACTCCAGTGTGACAGAGGCTTCGGTCATTCTGGTGCGGTGGCTACTGCGGTGCTTGCGGAGACCGGCTCAGACAGAAAGTCACTGGTCCAGAGTCCCCGGGATGGAACAGTAGCCAGGATTGGAAGCCACCTCCTGCTGAACCCCAGGGCCTTGCTCCTAACCACCGGGGCACGTGGCTCCGGCCTGCGTGGGGAGGCCAGGGGCAACACTGCCTTCCTGCGGCCCCAAGAGGCCTGGCAGAAGGCTGGGGAGGGAGGCTGGACAGACCTGCGACATTCCTAGGAATTAGCCTGACGTCTCCGGCATCCCTGCTCGGCGGCCCAGGGCCCACGGAACGGGGTGGGGAGGTTGTCCGCCTCGTGTGCAGCCTCGGGCAGGACGGAAGCGCCGCAGCCTGCCCCCGGCCGGATCCCTCAGTACAGGGGTTCAAAAGTAGCGCCAGCTGCCAAATTCCATTTCCAGCAATGAAACTGTCCGTGAACTCAAAGAGCCTTCCCACGGCAGCGCGCCAGCAACGCGAGATAAAAATAAATGCCTAACGAAGTCGCTGGAAATAAGGGAAGCCCTAGAAACATCGCTGGAAAGCTGAAAAATAGGGCCCAGGTGCTGACACTGGCAACAAAAGGGTTCAGGATTCTGTGGCCACTGGGACAGAGCCCACCCACTGAGAACCACCTAATCTGGGCCTGGTGAGGGGCTCCTGGGACACCGGGGGGGGGGGGGGGCCTGAGGCCAAATGCACCTGCAAGATTTGCCTGTAAAGCCGACTGCCCCCCAAAAAAAAAAAAAAAAAAAAGCCGACTGCCCCCAGGAGGCCCCCCCAGAACCCCTGCGCCAGCCTCAGGTCCCCATCCCAAGTTGTAAAACACAAGATTATCAATCGTGGAGAGGAGTCAGGAGGCCCGCAAGCGTCAGGAACCAGGTGCCTGGCAGAGACCGTGGTACGACCAGACGCTTAAAATGTGAAAGAAGGGGTCAAACCACAAGCAGATCCGCTGATCTGAAGAGGGAGCAGAGAGGAGCCGAATGGAAAGCCCGGGCCTGGGAGCCGAGCACTTCATGGGTTGGGGGGGGGGGCAGCTGAAGGCAGAACCGGAAGCCAGCGCTGGAGGGACGGCCACCCACGCAGACACGCAGAGAGCACCATGGGCTGAGGACTAAGGAGCCAGCTCCAAGGGGCAGGGGAAGGTTCCTGGAGGGCAGGACCTGGGAGACCAGAGGACGGCCCGGGGTGATCCCGCACTGACGAGGGGGGCTCTGGGACTCAGGGAGCAGGTGACAGACAATGCGAGCACCCAGGAGGTTCTGGCGACGGAGCCTGTTTATTGGGCAGGTGGGCGGGCGCTGCCCGTCACTCCTTGAGGGAGAAGTGCATCTTGTCGCTGATCATCTTGCGCTCGGGGTTGAGCCGCTTGAGGATCTGCGCGAGCACGTTCACGGTCTGCTCGCTGCTCAGCCCTGTCTTCTTGGTCTGGAACTTCTTCAGCAGGTCCTTGGTGGTCATGGGCTTCCGCGTCAGGTAGCGGCGCACCGCGTCCTCAGTCACCTGCACGTCTCTGTGGGGCCGAGCAGAGGGCGGCGTGGGCGGGCGTCCGCAGGCGGCCTCCCCACACCCCGCCTCGCCCCTGCCATTCCCCCCACAACGTACCCGCTGCTGGGGGTCGACTTCCCTGACTGGGGCTGAGGGGTTGACTTCCCCGACAGGCTCTGGGGCCCTGGGTCCAGCCGCAGACGTTTGGCCACCGGTGTCTCATTGGTCCGCTTGCCTGGGGGAGCAGGAACAGGGCTGAGTCCTGTGCTCGAAGTGGGGGAGCCCAGGCGGAGGGGTGCCAGGATCCCAGTGCAGGGGGCCCAGGGGGCACACAGGCCTTGGCTCCCAAAGCAGAATGCAGGCCAAGGGTGGGAGAAGAGGAGGCAGTGAGGCCGGGTCCCACTCACCCTGCTCCAGCTTGCTGGCGGCGGCCCGCAGGGTGGAGGACGTGCTGCCACTCTCCGCGCTCGGGCTGCCCGGCCGGCTGTTGCCCCGAGAGCTGCCTCCCGACGGCCTCCGCTCCCGCTTGGGGGGTGTCTTCTTCTTCTGCGGAGATGGGGTCCGGACGTGAGTCTACAGATAGCCTGCCGCCTGCCCCCTCCCGCCCCCGGGCCAGGCCGTACCGCCATGAAGAGGGCCGAGGACGCTTCGCTGTCAATGTCGCTCTCCTCCGAGCTGTCCGACTCGTCGCTGCTGTCTGCTGGGGGCCAGAGGAGAGATGTGGCTGCCGGGGTGCCCGCCCATGCCAGCCCCACCTCAGGTAAGGGGCTAGGGGGTGGGGGGTGGGCTGGGATGCAGGGAGGGGACCCACCTTTCCTACGCTTCTTTTCCTGGGGCGTGGGCGCCTTCTTCTCCTCCTCCTCCTCCTTGTCCTCCTCGGGCGGCTTCTCCTCCTCGCTCTCCTCGCTGCTCTCACTCTGCTCGTCTACGCCCTTGGGGCCCTCCTCCTGCTGGACGACCTTGGGCTTGCCCTCCAGCTCCTCCTGGGAGCTGCTAGAAGACAGAACCAGAGGGTGAGGGCCGGCCTGGGCCAGCCTGGCCCCGACCCCTCGGCCGCCTCCCGCCCGCCTTACCTCGAGCCATCCGACATGTAGTCCACCTCCTGGCCCTCGAAATCCCCATCGTCGCTGTCCTCAAAGGCCTCATCGTCGGAGCCCTTCTTCTTTTTCTTCTTCTTGGTCCCCTTGGTGGGTGGTGCCTTCTTCTTGGCCTTGGGGGCTCTGCCCCCTGCGGAAGCAGAGGGGGGCTCAGGCTGGTGCTCATCCTATTCGGTGTATCTGAGGAGGTCCGCCTACCTCAGGGGCCTGCCCCCCGAGGACCCACCTCTCCCGAGCAAACCTGACCAATGCAAGTCTACACCCCTGACTCCCTCTCTCCGGTTCTCACGCTCAGGAACGCCACCTCCTTCCCTGCATCCCCCAGGACCGGGTACCGACAGTCAGAAACCAGCCTGTGGCCAGAATTATTTGAATTGGCCAACCTGAAGCTGTTGCACCCTCTGCCCCCCCGCATTGCACATCCCGTGGGAGCCCCAATAAAGGCCACAGCTGAGACCTTCCTGTAGCTTTCTGCCTCCTACCAACTCAGGTGCTTGCCCAGTGGCCTATGTAGCCTGCTGAGCCCTGCTCTCATTCCCAGGGGGCTGTGACTAAGCTTCAGTGGCACTAACCTCCCTGGGCCATCACTCAGAAACCTTGACAAAGTACGACGCAAGCACAGATCACCAGACTGTGCGGATCACCCAGTCACCCCGGGGGCTCCAATGGCCTCACCTTCCTCACCACTAGCCTCACTGTCGTCAGACGACATCTCCAGGTCATCCTCCAGGTCGTGGATGCGCAGCTCACTGGCTTTCTTTCGGCTGCGCTTCTCCTTTTCCTCGTCTTCCTCCTCCTGATCCTGATCCTTGAGCCGTCGCTGCTGCATGATGCTGAAGTGGTTCAGGACTTTGTTTCTCCTGTGGGCAGGGGAATGGGATGTAGTGGGAGGTGACAAGGGGCCTAACTCCAGAAACCGGGCCTCCTAACTGCATCTACACCAGGCGCTCCCCAAAGGGGAACCATAGACACAACTTCGGTGATATGAGGGATGATCACAACCCTGGCAAGTAACACCCTGAAATTACATGCAGAGAGCTGGATTTCTTTGACTCCTTTCAGTCCTATGTCCCTCAAGGAGAAGCTCTCAGTGGTTTGGTATCCCAGCATCTCTCAAGCTCAAGGCC